GTTTCTAGCCTCTAATGTTCATACATAAAGTCCTTAGTTAGATTCCTAACACGGAAATGGGACTAGGTGGCCTTTAGGCTTGATTTTGGAGTTTACTCCCCAAGAACGTTCTTGGGCGGTAAACTCCCGGATCTTGTGTTTTGGACATGTAAATAATGTTATTAAGCATATAACAAGTATTAAAACACATCTAGGGAAGTAGACTCACAATCTGGGATGAAAACCCGAATATCCGTGAGAGAGAAATGGGCTATTCTCTAAATGGAATTCAACTAATGAACCAATTTGGTTCAGAATTCTATTTATAGTCCTGAGATTTTTGGCAGAAAATATTTCTATTCTCGGAATGGATTCTAATGATTCTAGGGTAATGGAATTTATAGTGTTGCACAAAATCCTAGTGCAACCACTCTCCTAATACCCCTTTTTGGTGTAAAACCCTAAAACTACCAAACTTATATTCTAAGTCTGAATTTTCATTGTAACTGCTCTACTTCTATTGGATTGAAATGGTTTGATTTAGAATGGAAATTTCAGGTTGTCACAAGTTTGATGGAGGACATATATGAAATTCTCCCAATTATTAAAACAAATTAAAATTTGTCCAAATGTAAAACAAATAAAAGTTTGTTGTAAATAATGTAAAAGAAAACGAAAGTTTGTTATTTGTTTCATCTTTTTAACTTCCGAAAATATTCGCGCCTCACACTCCAACAACCTTCACTCAAATACTTGCAGAGTGGAATGAAATCCCATTTCTTCCATTTTCCTCTCACTAAGAATCAAATTCAGTATTCCATTTTTCTTCTTTTCACAATCATTTAACAGAAACTCATGCGTTCATAAGAATCATCTTCCATTTTGATACAACTTGAATCATATTCCCAAGAGCAATTATCATGGGTTGTGTTAAATCGAATCACCAAGGTGAGTATTCCAACTTTCCAAGTTATTTCATGGGTTTTCTGCAATTTTTCTTAAGATTTTCGTATGTGAAAAGATGAATCGTGGGTTTAATTACTATGTTTCGATCCATTCTTACATTTGTGCTTCCGGGAATCTGAACTTTTCGATGAACATGAAATGATTCGACTCAATTCAGTGGTTAATTAGATGTTCAGAGAAACGGTATTCTCTCATTTGTTCATCTTCGATGGTTTTCTTTTTTCATTTTCGTATCATTGCATTCTGTAAGTTCTAAGTTGAATCAACAATACCCTTAAGATAAAATTCAGTAGAAATCTTCATTATTGAATATTTAAGACCATTTTGTGTAATCAGTTCTAAAATGTAATTTGAGCAATTGTGTTACTTAATAACTTTTGTTTACATTTTCTAGTAACTCCATTACTAGGTATCCGAATAAAGAAACCTGACCCATGGAACTACCATGAAGAAATAACCCGTGAACAGCTTCTTGCAATTCGCAATGAGTTTTGGCAACATGTTCAAGTTTATGGAGGGCGACAAGGTAATTTTGTTGATTAATTTCATAAAAAAAGTAGGATGTTATATAATAAATAAATAAAGAAATAAATAAAAGTATGTTGCTGTTTTTGTAGAGATTTGGGATGCACTTTGAAGGGCATCCGAGGCCCCAATACACATTGCACAAGCAATAGTTGATAGTTCGGGGATTATCTCTCATGTTACGGACTTAAGGGCGAGTTTTGATAATAGGGGTAAGTTTATTTCTTTGAGAAAAAAGTAGGATGCTATAAATTATACTAATAACAAAAAGTCGTTGCTATTTTTGTTCTTCATTGATTTTGTAATTTTGTTTGTAGGTACAAGATACAAGTTGCCATTGTATGTTTTGAGTGAGTCAAGTAATCTCATCGAAGGGTGGATATGAGAAATTGAGAAACGGGTGATGTAGCAGTGTTGATACAAAGATTGTAGATCGTGTGAATGAATTTTGTTAATTGCAATTTGTCTAATTTTGATTTGAAATCTTTGATGAAATTGTGAATAAAATATGGGTTTTTGTGTTTGGGATGATAATATTGGTATATGACATTTGTGTTGATGGAAAATGGATGTATATGATATATATACAATTGGTTGTGCCATATTTCTTAGGAAGAAATTGTTTACTTTTATACTTTAAGGATGTAGTTGAAAAGTATTATTGTAAAATCGTTCATGGGAGAATCCAAGATTTGAGTCTCTTTCAAATGAGGATGCAAAGATTTATCCATAATTGTGAGATATAATGATATATTATTATCATATGCTTATACTTCTATTTGTTAAAATACAACTAAGTATTTTATAAATGTGTATAAATTGGAAAAAATAACGTGAAAACTTGTTACATAAATTGATCATTTAACTAATTGCACATATTTTACAAATATGTATAAATTGGAAAAAAGAACGTGAAAACTTGTTACATAAATAGGTGATTAAACATTTTTAATAAAATATATAAATATTATTGAGAGATATAGGGAATTATTCTCATTACGTTCAAATGATAAAGTACAAGCAATATAAGCACACCATACATGGGCTGGGCCTATATGATGACACAATAAATGGGTTATACACTACACTATATTATGGGCTAAATTATCTACACTAACAAATATATGTAAAGTAGTTGGTTTTCTCCTAAAAAAAGACTTTAACATATATATAATGTAAAGGCATTGGTTTTCTCTAAAAAAAAAAGACTTATGACGAGAGTAACATATATATAAAGACATTTTTGTGATTATTTTTGATAACAAAAAATCAAAAAGTATTTTCCTTAATAAATGAAGGTTTTTTTTACCACTTGTCAATTTCTTATGAATTTTAACACTTGTCATTTTGTGGTAATTTTAAGATAAATATTATCCACTTGTCAATTTTTGGTTTGTTTTAATTTTTAATTAAAATCATATACTTATATATGTAAAGTATTAAATATCATATATATGATATTAAATTGTAATAAATATGGTTTTTTTCTTTCTTATTTTAAAATTATACATTAAAAATATTTCATTTTTATACTTTCAGTTTAATTATTTTTAAATCAACCCGTATAATATACGGGTCTCACACCTAATATTTATTAAATATTAGAATTACAAACCTAATTATATCTCGAGTTGAATTCTAAAAACACTAGTTTTTCCAGTTATTTATATCGTTTTTTTATTTTTTATTTTTATTTTTATTTTTTTTAACTTACGCACGTGGGTAAATAAGAAAGAATAATTTGATCGCTGCCTGTAGATGACAAGAATAGGGATAACACGAATTTTAGTACAAAGATTGTAAATCATGTAAATACATTTTGTTTAATTTTGCTACGATATTCTTATCGGAAGTGTGAACAAATTATATCATCCTATCAATATATGACATTTTCTTGTGGCATATTTCCATATATGACATCTTCTTGTTCCGTATTTCATAGAAAAATGTTAGGGTGCGTTTAGTTTCGGAAAAATGAGCTGTTTTTCGGAAAAATTTTCCAAGAAAAATGAGAATTTTGAAAACGCGTTTAGTTCATCTATTTTTCTAAATTTTTCACGGAAAATGAAAATTTTCCGTTTTCTAAAATTACAAACAAGTTGGAAAATTTTGGAAAACTGATAATCATTGTTTTCCATATTTTTCTAATTCCAAAATTTTTCTATAAACACACACCCACTTCACCTCATCCACTTCTACCTACCCCCACCTTAACACCCCTCACCCACCCACACACACATACATACCCACCCCTCCTCACACACCCGCACACACACACACATCAACCCACAAACACACACACATAAACACATACACCAACCCACACACACACACCAACCCCCACACACACATACATACCCACCCACACACACACCCACCCGCACACACACACACACACCAACCCACACACACACATACATACCCATCCACACACACACACCCACAAACACACACACATACATACCTACCCACACACACCCACCAACATACACATGCACACACCAACCTACACACACACACACCTACAAACACACACACTTACACATACATACCCACCCACCCCCCCCCCCTACACACACACACACATACACATACATACACACCCACCCACCCACACACACCCACCCACAAACACACACACACACCCCAACCCACAAACACACACACATACATACCCACCCATACATACACACACGTACATACCCACACACCCACACACACACCCACACCTACCCCACCCTCACAGACACACACACCCACACACACACAAACCTACACCTACCCCCACAAACACACACAAACACACACTCGCACCCCCACCCACCGAACACCACCACAACAATCATCGACCTACCATCACCACCACCACCACTAACCCGTCACTAGCACCACCACCATCACCACCACTGATAAAATTGACGCCGCCACCACCATCGCCTGTCATCACCACCACCGCCGCCGACCCGCTACCATCACCGCCCCCACCCCCACCCTACTACCACTACCGTTTTTTAAAAATGAAAACCGATAGAAAAATAGACATTTAAACACGTTTTCTAATTTTCTAAAACTGAAAATGAAAAATGAATAAGTTTAACTAAACGCGTTCTCTAAATTTTTCAATGAAAAATGAAAACGGAAAACGAAAATCGAAAAGGAAAAACAAAAAACGGAAAATGAAAATTGTTTTTCCATAACTAAACGCAACCTTAGGTTTTAATATTTTATACTCAAATAGTCAAATGTAAAATATCCATGGTACATTTTTATAATATAACCGAAATCAAAACCATAATCCCTAAACAAAACTTAAAACTAGGTTATATTTTTATAACCGAATCCAACCGATAAAGTATGACCCAAGTGTAATAGCATTATATATCCAATATTCATCGTCTCAAGATATCACAAATCCGTAGTATGCTACCATATACATCAAACATTTTTCATAAAAAAATAGCCAAACGAAAACTAACAAAATGTATACACATGATATACAATCTTCATGCTAAAACTATCATTTATCACGATTACCTCCTTCTCAAAATGCGACCAATCATGTTCGCAGCACCACGGTCCATATTTGTCGGCTCACTCAAAAGGTATGGCGGTAACTCATACCTTGTACCTGTAACAAGATAAAAGTCAGCTATCTGTGTAAGGTTACTTTCCATGATAAAGATCACAAGAATATTTATGTCTTTTGCACAAACAATACTCATCTAGTTTCATATTATTGGTCGAAAAAAAAAATTGTTCCTATATCTGGTTTATATTATGTTATGTTTGGCGTACTAGTTGAAAAAACTAACTGTTAGCTGAAAAATTAACTGATAGTTGAAAAACTAGCTGTTAAATAAAAAACTAGCTGATAAAAAATAAGATTTGATAAACTAGTTGAAAAACTAGCTAACAAATATGAAATTACATAAAAAACCACGAAAAGAATATGTTTTTATAATTAATTTAGAAATATATGTGAATATACCTTCATCATCAATGCAAAGTGTCATGTCACCATTTGGATATCTAATGCCATTACTGTCGAGAATTCTTTGTGCATAGGTTAAGTCGCACTCAGCTGCTGCTTCAAGGGCTTCCCAAATTGCTGGAAAACACAAAAAACGAAATAACTTATTACTTAGTTTGTTTATTAATTAAAGCGGGAAAATGAAAAAGGGTTTAGCATTCCGATCAATGGTGGCCGGAAACTACCTGCTCGGCCGGCGTAACGTGGGGCATTACGCCAGAAGGTGGTGCGCATCTCGTGAAGCTCACTCCATGAAACCCGATTGCCCTCGTGTCGCCATGGCCTGGGTCTTCTTAGTCTGTTACCACCACCTTCTGCAAGAACACCGGAAAATTTGATCGGAAAACCCTTTCTATTTCATCGATTCAAGTTAGAAGGATCAAATGATTGAAGAGAATTAGGTTTAATTACGGAATAATGAAATGGAAGAAGACAATTTTGTTTAAGAATTTCAAGAACCTCCCAAAAAACGAAGAATGCCAAAATCGAATCACATTAATCACTTCTTTTTTGTCAACATATTCAAATACCCAAAACAAATAAGCAAGAGTCGATTGAGATACATATTGCCATCATTTCACGTCATAAAATCATCAAAAAGTTTAAAGAAAAGCGATTGGATGCTTGAAAAATTGGAATACTTACGGCGTTCATCAGCTTCCGATGATTTAGCACAACCCATTACGAATGATCGCTGTTGTGAATCTTCTGATGCGAGGCGTAGTGAAATGGTGTTTGATTCTTGAGAACGCAGAAGAGTTTCTGCTAAAAATTCATGGAAAATTGAAGTGGGTCTACGACTACCAGCATCTGTTTATGAAGAATGATGAAATGATTTGAATCAGTAATCGGTGTTAGAAGAAAATGGAAGAAACCGATGAGTCTAATAGTAACGAACTCACTCTGCAAATACTTGAAAGTTGTTAGTTTGAAGAGAGAGATGGGGGATTGAGTTGCAAATATTTCGCGGGCATGTATAACAAAAATTAATTTATATTTATTAATTTACATTTTTGATAATTTAAAAAAAAATATGGAATCGATTTTATGACCAATTTTGTAATTTTGATACTTTTTTTTTTCTTTAATTTTGTATTTTCATGTTATTTTCTGAAGAATATTACATTTGTTCATATTCTATGGTAAATAATAATTAAAAAAAAATGTTTATGGGTCAAGGGATCCGACCCATTTTAGCGTCATTCATACACTTTTGCATCGTTCACATTATCAAATATTTGCAGCAACTACCATTTTCCTTTCTTCTCCCTTCTCTGCATACATCGTTCACCAACCAACTATCGATTCATTAGGGTTCATAAACAGATTCTGGCAGACTCATCTTTCTTTTCAAGAAATTTTAGCAGAAACTTTTGTGCGTTTACAAGAATCAAGCAACATTTCAATACAACTCGCACACGAACATTCATAGAGAGATCAATCACAATGGGTTGTGCTAAGTCATCGAATAACAGTAGTGATCGTAAGTATTCTAACTCTCCAAGTTCTTTCATGGGATTTTTTTACAAATCCTTCGTAGATTTCAGGATGTGAAAGGATTTAATCGTGATGTGGGTTATATGTGTTTGATCGATTCTTGCATTTTCGAAATCAGTATTTAAAATTGCTGCTAAACATGAAGTGATTTGGGTCGGTTGAGTGGTTAATTAGGGTTTTGTTGTGTTTGATCTTTAAGGGGCTTTCTGAACTCTTGGTGTCGCTAATGGCTGTTTTTGTAGGGTAATTGTTTTAATACCATGAATCTGATTTTGGCATTGGGTGGATTTTTGCATTTAATTTCTTGGTATTTTGGGGTTCTTCAAATTCATATCAAATCGATGATTTATCTTGTTCTAAGGCCATATTGGAAATTGTCATCACTAATGAAAATTTGATCCAATGATTGTCTAGTTTTGTTTATTCTCAAAAAATATGTACAATAACTAGTTTATCTACAAATTGTTGATGCAAATATCTTTTGGTAATTTAGGTTGATTGTGTTACTTGGTTTATAAATTATAATAATTCATTATTTTATGTGATTGTTATTGATGGACTTGATCTATATTCTACGTTACAATAAAAATAAAATTGAAAGTACAATGATCTTATTCCATAAATATTTCAAAGTACGATGCCTTAATAAGAAAGAAAACGAAAGGTACAATATTGTCACACAAAGAAATAAAATTACAATGCTATAATACACAAATATCTAAAAGTACATTGCTATTTCTTGTAGGACGTAGTAGTAGACAAATCACAATCACAAAGCCAATGCCTTGGAGCCACACTGAATCAATCAATCGTGACCAGCTTAACAAAATGCGTGATGAGTTTTGGGACACCACTCCATTTTATGGTGGCAAAAGAGGTAATTTTCATCTCTAATTTTTAAAAAATATATGAAAGCACATTGCTATTTCTTTAATATATTTTTTGGTATTTTTGTTATATTTCTTTATTATTTATTAGAGATTTGGGATGCACTTCGAGCAGCCGCGGAGGCGGAGTTACACTTAGCACAAACAATAGTTGATAGTGCGGGAATTATCGTTCACGAGCCGGACTTGACGGTTTGCTATGATGAGAAAGGTGAGTTAGACTGCGTTTGTTACATGGGACAGAACTGGACAAACTTTGTATGACTATTTTTATAATAAGATGAGGTGGGCATTTTTGTCTTTTTGCACTGACAATACACGTTGTCCTACTTTTTTGGATGAGACAAAAGTTGAAATTATTGTCCTACTGACATCAATCACAGTGTTCACAGTCTTTTACTTTTAGTGTGTAATAAACGGTGGGCTTTTATTATTTTTAGGTGCGAGATACGAGTTACCGAAGTATGTTTTGAGTGAGCCAACGAATTTGGTCAACGATTAGAGATGAGAACATTTTGGCGACATCGCGGTTTTAACATGAAGTTTGTAGATCATGTATAGATATCTTTTTTGCCATGTTATGTTTGATTTTGTTTTAATATTCTTGTTAAAAATGTGAATAAAAATAGATATTATCGATATGTGACATTTTGGGTTGAAGGATAATGGATATATACGATATATATAGAAAGAAATTTGTCACTTTTAGAAGGATACTATCGATATGTGACCTTGTTTATGCATGAATGATGTAGAAATAAATTTGTCACCTTTCAAAGCAAAATCGAACAAAAAGACCTTAATAAGCTGAATTATGTATGTTTCATTTAGTTCGTACAAAATGGCTTATTGAGTTGAGCTAAATAAAAACTTGGTTTAACGTATTAAGATATCTATCTACCTCTCTAACAAAAAAATTATAATCATGCCACATGTCATTTTTTTAGACTAATTTTGTGTTAAATGGCAATTTCTTATACATCTTTTATTCATTTTCTGCCCAAGAGAAAATTAAGGATAATTTTGGAAATAATTCTCTTATTGTGATTGATACTATATAGTTATTAAAATTAAAAATTTCTGGATATATTGGTTGCATTTTAAATTTTTTCCTTCATTATCCCTTTTAGTCATGCTGTATAGTTACCAAATTTTTGGTAAGTTGATCATTTTTCACTCTATTTCTTTCATTATCCATTTATGTTTATGAGATTATATACGTCTCGTCACAAAACATAGCCTGCCGTTTTACATTTTTCCTTTCAAGCATCCATATTTCTTTCGATCATATCAAGCTAATTCCACCATTCACTAAGATAAGTCAATAGGATTCTTCTCTCTTGATTATTTGTTTTTTATTTTTTAAATGACTTTAAAAACCCAAATGATGTGTGTTTATTAATTAACTTTGTTCATCATGTAGGATATTTACGATTTTGTGTGTTGTGTGTGTGTGTTTTGTGTATGTTTGTGTGTTATATGTGTTTTTATTAATTCAAATGGCAGCAATGTATTATATAATAAAACAACAATGTAGTTTCAGTTCTAAACCTAATATATCATCATACTTGTTAGATAAATGTTTATATTAGAGGGTCCTTTGTGTAAATGTCTAGTCTATATATACTCTCTAATATTTTCCCTTGATGAATACAATATATAATTACCAAGTTTAACTTGGTATTAGAGCCAATAATCATCTCTCTAAAAATCCACACCTCGTATCGTAACCCTAACCCTAATCCAACCGTCACCTGTCTCCCTGCTGCTGCTGCCTCCTACCAACTGTTGCCCACTACCTTTTTCCGTTACTTCTCTTCATCATGACTACTCTCACTACATTCTCTTAAGCAAAAAAGACATCTCACAACTCCCATGAGTTTGGTTTCACCCTTTCTCCTACAAATTATGGACATTGGAAGGCTATGATTCAACCATTTCTCCCCACCAACAATCTTTTTGGCTATGTTGATGGCACAATCTCATGCCTTGCACCTCTGGTCACAACACCAGGTAAAGAAGGAGATCCCGTTACTACAACATCCAATCCTAGTCATTCAATCTGGATCTCAAATGATGCACATGTTCGTATGCTCCTCATGTCAACCGTATCAGAAGCATCATTCCAACATGTCCAAGGTACAATTTCTCGTGATCTCTGGCTAAGCCTTAAACATACTTATTCCCCTAACACGTCATCAAGGGAATTTATGTTAAAAACACAATTGTTGAAGATACAAATGAAGGGTGATGAGACTTCTGCTACCTATCTTACTAGAGCACAAGAGTATGCCACTGCTCTTGCTAACATTGGGCAGCCCATGTCAGACAAAGATATTGTTATGTTAGTTGTTGCAGGTCTTCGGGATAAGTACAACATAGTCAAATAAAATCTTCTTTCCAGACAGTTTACCACCGTCTTTTCCGAACTCCCTACACTCTTGGCTGATCATGAGTTTCTGTTTCAGAATCCAATTTCCGAGGTTCCTTTAGCTCAGGCCTTTGCTGTCAACACAACCACTGGAGCTTCTCTTCTGACAGATACAATTCAAGCCATATAAATCTTGTGTCTAATCTTGGATTTCAATTCCAACCTACACCTACTACATCATCTACACAGACTCCTCAAGCGTACTACACAAACAACTCTGGATCTCCTAGTAAGAACAGAAACCAAGGTGGGTCTCGTAACCACGGTGGACATGGAAATCATAATCAAGGAGGAGGACAACGAAATTCAAATCAATTCAATTAGGCTTCTAACCAAAACATAATGTATGGTACTTGTAATAGGTGTGGGATTGGTCATATTCCATCCCAATGCCCAAACCATGATCCATCTACGATTCGAGGAAGACAACAACCATCCACAAACTATACATATAATCGTTCAACCACCACCTCTACATCTTGGCTTTCAAAAACAGGCTCTAGCAATCATGTGGCATCGGACATAACAGGTTTCACTTCAACCACATCTTACTATGGTGATGACAATCATCATGTTGGCAATGGTAAGGCCCTTCCCATCCTTCAGATTGGTTTTTCAAAACTTTACTCACCTACCAAAACTTTTCACCTAGATAACATCCTTCATGTCGCCAAGATCAAGAAACATCTTCTTTCTGTCCAAAATTTTTGCCTTGATAATCATGTCTATTTTGAATTTCATGCTTCTTTTATTCAATAAAGCTTTCCGCAAATCTTCCACGTCCCAAAGTTGCTTTCTCTACAACTCGTGAAAGCACAACCACATGGCATCAACGTCTCGGGCATCCTCACTCTCAGATGTTTCAATCTATGTTTTCTAAATATTGTTTACCTGTTTCCAATAAGAATTTTGATTTTCATTGTAATGCTTGTTCTATTAGCAAGTCTTCCAAAATTAATTTGCAATCTTATTCTTATAAAAGTACTCATGTTATAGACCCTTTTTTTTTTTTTTTTTTTTTTTTTTTTTTTTTTTTTTTGATGTTTGTGGTCCCGCACCTGTGCCCTCCTTTGATGGCCATTCTTATTTTCTTTTATGTGTTGATCATTTTTCCAAATTCATGTGGTTGTTTCCTTTAAAACATAAATATGATGTCTTTAATGTTTTTACACACTTTGTAAAAGTGGCTGAAAGCCAATTCTCTACTAAACTCAAATCCATTCAAACTGATTGGGGATGGGAGTTTTGGAAACTATTCGACTTTTTCTCCTCAGTCGGTGTCATTCACCGTCTTTGTGCCATCATACTAGCGAACAAAATGGAATTGTTGAAAGGCGTCACCCTTACATTGTCGAAACCAATCTCACCCTCATGACA